TTCAAGAAAATCATTCACAGGGGCAAAATGGTCAAAAGCACACTAAAAAGTCAAACTTTAACTTTTAGATCAAAAATCAAGTTTCAACAATTATATTTCGTCAAGACATGAAATTGGTTCATAAAAAATCAGAAGTCAGAAATTACTTTGAAAAAATTAAATTTCTAAACATTTAGAAAATTTTCTAAGTGTTAAGAGAATGTGATACTTCAGAACTTCTGAGCCAGCCTCCACGCAAGTGCAGTCAGAATTTGCAAACATGGTTCAGAACATGATTCTTCAATCAGAACATGACTCTTCAACATATGCTTTGATCAGAGCATCACCCTTCGAGTTTCACTCTGGTCTTTTTCGATCAGAACACCACAAAGCCCCAAAACCTTGTTTGAGCAACCTGCTGCACTGCTATAGCACAATCCTGCAACCAGCTGCCACAACACTCCAAATTGCTGCTGATCTAGTCCACACCTGCATTTTTTTCAAACCCTATATTTGCACCAAATTAGCATACAAAAACTATGATTAAAAAGCAATGGAACAGTATATCAAAAAGGTTTGAATCCCATTTGTTTTTCCCTCTAAAACCACAACAAACTCATCTATAAATAAGTGGCTCCATCACACGTTCAAGGGGCTGGCTTTTGGAGGGAGAGAATTGTCAAAAGAGAGAAAAGAAAACGGTGAAACCTTCATAAAAATTCAGAATTCTTAAAACAGAAAACCAAAACCTTTGTTCTTCCCTTTGAGTCAAAGAACTTGGCATTTTCTCTTCTGTTGCTCTTGCTGACTCCAGGACATCTGAAGGCAGTAGTTCAAGTTCCAAGCACACGCTCCAGGTTCAAGGTAAGTCTTTCTAACTTTGCATCTTTTCATTCAGAACATCATTAAAATATGTAAATATCACAGTATTAGTGTTGTCCATATCATTGCATAAGTAGGAAAACTGTGGATCAGAATTTCTTGATTAGGGCTAGGCTCAGATTAGGGATTTGAACTTCTATAAACTGTTGTACTTTTATCCTTCTGATCTGCTGTTTGTTAAGAACTGAATAAATTGTTGATATGCTGATTAATATGAGGAAAAAGTTGAAATGCGGCACATAACCTCTGATTTTCACTCACTGTTTTAGCATAACACATAACTTCTGAGTTCTCCTTACTGTTAAACACACTGAACTTCTGATGTTTCCACTCACTGTTTTAACACTTAGAACTTTTGATTTTCACACGCTGATAACACACTGAAATTATGATGTTCACCAACTGTCTTAACACAATACAAAACTTCTGAGTTCTTCCCACTATTTTAACACCTACAGAGCTTCTTAGATTTTCTCACTGCTCTCACATTCAGAACTTCAGTACGTAGCAACCCAGAACTTCTGTGTTTTCCCTCTAACGTTTCTTGCAGGATCTCAGAGTGTATCAACTCAGAACTTCTGATTCCTCTGATGTTTCTTGTTGAACCACAACGCGCCCGACATCAGAACTTCTGATCCCTGTTGCTGTGCTTTCAGCAACATGCTGCTTCTTTTCTCTTGTTATTTTCCTTTTTATCATTTTTAACATTAACATCCTTTTTATTAATATGTAAAAAAACAGACATAAAAAATATTTTCTTTTTTTAATTTATTTCTTTTTAAGACAAAAAACCACTTTCAAAACAAGTCCTTTTATATTGTACATTTCAATATGGTTGTAATAGTTAATTAGGATTTACATTCTTGCAACCCTCCATTTGTAAATTTGTACCCCCATCCCTAAATGATGTAATAGCGTAGGATTTTATATTTCCGTAATTTCTTATTTTCAAACATAAATGCTAGTAATTAGGGTGTGTATGGCAAGACATGAAATCAACAAATAGATAATCCTAATCAAGATTAAATGCATGAAAATCAAACACACTTGCACACTAACACCCTTAGGGTAATCCCACTTTGTTGCCTTTCGGAAAATAGTCATGTCCCTCGAATATGGACGTTTTAGCAAAGACCCTCGATAAAAGATCGTAGTCCCCCGATGACCCTCGGTGTTGCCTTCGGTTAATGATCTAGTTCCTAAACGACATTGCTAAAATGTCCCATTGGTTGCCTTCTATGACTATACAAACGTCCCGCGTCCGTTCCTTCACATCCAACGATGAGGCTTCTTACCAAAACGATGGTAAGATAGCCATATCTAAAGGAGAAGGAAAAGAACACCTAAGACCTTTGAGTAGGTAGATTGCTCCTAGTCGCTCGCTTGCTCACAATAAAAACATTTTATATATCAAACACTCTCATTTTGAAACACTTTCAAAATACAACACTTTTCATACGTTCTTATAGAGACGAGAACCATTACAAAAACATCTTTTCAAAATCACCTTCAAAAAACATAATACAAAAACACCTCTTTGAACTATTTTTCGAAACAACACTTTGTATGCGTTCTTATAGAGACGAGAACCATTGCAAAGACATTTTCAAAATACTTTCAAAACCCACACCACAAGCACATTCAAACAAAGCAAGTGATCTAGCGAGCAACTAAGAGCCCATGGAAAACCATGGATGAAAGGGGTGTTAACACCTTCCCTTTTTATAATCTACCCCCCGAACTCAAGAAAACATCTCTAAAGGTCTTTCCTGTGCTTTTTTTTACCTTTCCTTTTGGATAAAAGAAAAGTCGGTGGCGAATCTTGCTAACCGCACAATTGCGATCAAACGCAAACGACCCGAGTCAGTTCTCCCACCGTATCACAATATGCATGCATGATGATAACAAAAATTACTTATCTTAGAGTGAGTAGTTACCCCTTTGGTGATATCGACAATAATGTTGTCAATTGGACGATCCTTAGAGGTTCTCCACTCCAATGGAATATCATCATTTTCTTCATGGCTTACATCATCTTTTTTTTCTTGGTTGTCATCTTCATCCTTCTCAATTTCTACCGATTTAGGTTGATCAACTTCTTTATCGGTGTACTTGAGTATGTCTTTTGTAGATGCACGTACACCATGAAAAGAACTACCTTTTCCAACACTATTTGGGAAAGTCTCATAAAAAAGAACATGGACCGACTCCTAAACAATAAGTAATCTTTTGTTATAAACTATATATACTTTGCTAGATTGAGAGTATCCAAGAAAAATAGCTTCATCGACTTTCGCGTCAAATTTTCTAAGATTATCTTTTTCATTATTTAAAATAAAACATTTACATTCAAAGACATGAAGATGAGATAAATTTGATTTTCTACCTCGCAAAATGTAAATTTATATTAAAAAAAGGATATATTTATACTATTATAAATATCAAAATTAATATTTATAATAATATAAATATAATATATTATTCTAGTTTTTTAATTATAATATTATTAATAATATTTTATTTTAAAATATTACATTTCAACAATAAAATCAAAAACATATAATCTTTTATATCAAAAATATAATATTCTATTTATACTCTACATATTTTGTTTATTCTGTTTCAACAATAAAACTAGAAACAATAAAACCAAAAACATATTACATTTCTGCAGATTTATACTCTAATATAAAATCTAAAAACATAAACTCTAACATTTCAATATATTTATACACTAACAATTTTGTATACTCTAATATAAACTCTAGAAACATAAACTCTAACATTTCTAATAGATTTATACACAAAATCATACAAATTTCATCAAAATATTTTTAAAATAACAAACAATTTAGTTCTTATGTGTACCTTATAAATGGGTTTGATGAAAGGAACCTTGAAACCAACAACAAATTTGAGTCTTGAGAGTGTTGATTTGTGATAAAAATAAAAAATTTGAGAGATTCTGAGGATTTGAAAGAGAGCAACTGCAGTTGGAATATGAGAGAAGAAAATGTAATGTTGAAGTTGTATAAATCTGGAGTGAGAGAAAGGAAAGTGAAACGCTGGTATTTATAACAGGTTTGTGAGGTGAAAAACACTCCGCAACATTATAGTCGTTGAGACTTGCGAGATGAGAAACACCATACAAAATCTATATCAATCAAAATGCCATTTGCGCTATGTACCATCAGTAATGTTAGACATTGTCACTTCAATTTTAAAAAAGAACTTGCAGAGTAATTATCACCTCACAACGTTAAGAGACGTTGGGACTTGCAGAGTGATAATCACCTCGCAACAACTTGTGTCAGTAAAAGTTACAAACGGTCACCTACCATTTAATTCAATAATTATACCATTTAATTTAACCCCCAATTTTTTTCAAACATAGTTGCACGGTGTTTTACACCTCACAACTTTCTTTTCAAAAAATTTAAAATTCTCATCATCAGTTGCGAGATGGAAAGGCTATTTTTATTTATTTTAAAAAAAATTGTGTTCTGAGGTGAAAAATACCTTGCAAGTACATTATTTTACGAGGTAATTTCACCTGACAAATTCACCCTGTAAATTTGATGTTTTCTTGTAGTGAATCAATTATTCAATTACATAGTTATTACAGGGATAGAAAAAGACCAACTATTCACCAAATGTTCTAACATGTTGATAGATGGAAAAAAAGGATAATAAGGGTTTTTCCAATGCAGTTAATGTTCTTATATGATAGATGAAAGTAGTTTTCAAAAGAATTAGTTTTGTTATTTAAAAAGGATATCGGTGCAATTTATTGTCCGTTTTTCCTGCTCTTTCTATATAATTTTCAAACGAAATTAAATAGTATCCATTATGGTTAAAAAAAATTATAGGTCTCATGAATAAATATATTTTTCCTATTTGTTTTTCATAAACAATAAATTTCATGAACACAAATACTCAAATTAAAGCTTCAACTCATATCCAAAAACAAAGAAGGTTGAAACTTTATGACTTTTCTTTCTTTAACCATTCAAACTTACATGCAATTTTCAAAAACTACATGCAAGATTTCAAAAACCATGTACAATTTAAGATTGAAGGAGATTGAGAAAACTATAGATTGAGAGGATCTAAATTCCATGAAAGATAGATCTACAATTTTATGCCTTAACAGCATTTACTAAAGGTTCCTTTTTCACTTGTTCGCATTTGTAGGTAAAGTGTCCTGGATTCTTACATTTGAAACACAACTTTTCGTTGGAAGTGCAATGGAACGCATTATGCCCCTTATCTCCGCATCGAAAACATCTTTTATCACTTTTATAATCATCGCTTCCTCCCTCAAATTCATGATCCATTGGATGTTCTTGTCCTCTATTATTCCCTTGCTTGTCACTCTCATCTTTAAGGTTATTCGAATGCATCATCCTTCTAGAACTTCTTTTACCACCATCTTCGAGTGCAACAAGAAATAATGGGAGAATTAGAATCATAACAAAAACAAGCTTGAGAATTGTAGCCATGTTTTTTTATGTGAAAAATAGAATATAATTGATCTCTTTATAGTGTATAAATTGCATGCTCACCGAAAAATAATTAAATGGTTTATTAGCACTTATGAAGTCCTAAAACCCCTTCAGTACGGTGTGCTAATTTGTCCCTTCAACACATCAATTAAGGAGGGCACGTAACAAACTTGTTAATCATTAAAAAATCGTTTTTTTTTAACTAACTTGCACGACTTTGTTAATCTTTCATGAGAATAAAGAGAAAATTTTCTTTTTAGACTATGGTAAAGTTACTTTTGAAAAAATAATTATTGGCTTGAGAACATGTTTGTTACGAATATCATAGATCAATTTTATGGTTGATACAATCGTTGAATAACAAATAATATGTATTTAATTTTGTACTTGCATGATTTAAATTAGCATTAATATCAATTATATAATTCATATTAATTTAGAAGATAATTTAGTTTTTAAAACTTATTATTTTTAAAAAAATATTTGTATATTTTATGGAACCGTGTTTTTTAATTTTGTATTTGCGTACTATATTCACACCAACTATATAATTCATATTAATTTATAAAATAATTTAGTTTCAAAAAAATTAAATTGTTTTTTTTTTAAAATTATTTGTATGTATCCCAGAACCGTCTTTTGAGTAGATTTAATTTTCAAGTGAAAGTACAAAAAAAAAAAAACACATTTTTATTTGATTATAAAATAGACGTCTATTTGATAGAATTTTTTTTTTGGAATAATCATGTATTAAATTTTTTTTTTTCAAATAACTATGTTTCAGAGAATATTACGCAAATAATCATGTTTTAGAAAACTCCTCAAGGGAGGAGCCATCCCACTTGGCGCCTACACCTTATTTTAAAGGGGATGCGCCATCTCACTTGGCGCCTAGGTGTTAAAGGCCTGCCCTAAGCCAAGTGAGATGGCGCCTTAGTGCAATTAGGAGGCAAATTTTTGCATTTTTTATTTTAAATACGGTGCGTTACGTATTCGATATAGGATCAACAAAATTGACTTTTTATTTATAAAATATGATTACACACATAACAGTTACATAAAAAAGTACAAATTAATCAGTGGTCCCCCGGAACCCGGTAATGACCCCCGGTTCCGCATCCCCGTCCTCGCCTTTTCCGTGCTGGGTTTCATCGCGTTTCCTGTTGTGGCAGGGTCGATGGCCCAACGAAGTCAATGCATTCCGGATCCATGAAATCAGTCAGATCTCCATATCTAGAAGATCCGCTTTAGTACAGTCGGTTACCCATACCCTCAAAGTTTAGTCGTGTTGGTGGTGGATGGGGTTCCATGGTTGGTCTGTAGCACTGGTCGTTTGAGTACGGGGGGTAGAAAGAAAATGGATCTTGGGGTGTTTGGTATTGAGGATGTTGGGTGCTTTGGTGATGTTGTGGTTGATGGTAAGTTGGGTCGGTTGGTTCATAATCTTCGGACAATCCCAGATCAGGGCTAAGGTTGGATGTTGAGGGGCCCATATTGGGATATGCAGAAGACTGAAATTATGTGTGGGGTATGCGGGTGTATTGGTATTGTGATTGAAATTGTGGTTGGGTGTGAGGCATATGGGGGTATTGGTACTGAGGTGGTGATTGTGGTTGGTTGTGGGGTATGTGGGTGTAATTGTATTATGGTGGTGACTGTGGTTGGGTGTTTGTGGTTCTGTTTTGTCGGGGGGGGGGGGGGGGGGGGTTGGTGGGAGGTTGATGTGTGTTGGGTTTGTTGTTGGGGAAATGAGGGTTGTGCTCATTGTGTTAACCAAATACCTTGGATGAGACACGTGTATTTCAGGGGTACTAACCGATCTGTACCAAGATAAATACTGATCTGTGTGTCGCATATTACCATGGTTGAGGAAAACTGGGAATTGCAAGACATGTCGGTGACACCTCTACCACATCTTACACCATTATGGAGCAAAGTCTTTCCAGTTGGTAAGACCCCATTGGGCGTCGATCCTTTTGAGATGCCACAGAGATAAACAAGTCGGATCTCTGAGTATCTCTTGATGCATTCCAAACTGCATCTTGACACGGTCGATGTGGTGCATCTCCACAACATTGAATTGTATGCTTGAAGTAAAAAAGCGCAGCCATAAAATGTACATTTTTCCTTGATTGCATTTTTACACAAGGAACTGTATAGATGGGCTAAAACAGCAAAACCCCAACTATACTTTCTAATTTTTTCGAAATCACTAAGTAAATTTAAATACATAAAATTTACACTATTTCCCGTACTTTCGGGAAATAAAAAGGTTCCAAATAGTATCATTATATAATTTCTAGATTTTATTACCTTAATCTTAAATTTATCAAAACACTCATATACTTAATCTCTCAAACACTAGAACATTCAAAAATTCCAGCAATTAACTCATAAACTTCAAACCTTCAAACCTTTAAACAGTCATACACAATGACCTCCGCACCCCAATATGTGATCAGTGCATATTTCAACGGTGAGACATACATTTGTCCCACCTCTGAGTTTTTGTTTAGAGACACTGAGAACATCCAATTTTGTTTAAACAGGAAAGCCAATTTCTTGTACTTCAAAAAACGATTGGAGGCCAAACTTGGACGAGGTCCCGTGACACAAATATTTTATCAGAATCCGGTTTTTTTGGTAACAACCAAATAATATTTTATAAGATTGAGGTTCAAGATGACGAGGACCTTCAAAATATGTTTTCCAGTCATGAGTATTCTGGGTACGACTCTATTGAGTTGTACATTATGCTGCGAGAGCCTCCACTGTCACAAGTGGTTGATCCTTTGGAGACCAAACAAGCAGAAGTAGATGTCGTTGAAGAAGAAGAAGAAGATGACGATTTGGAGTTTGACGAAATGGTCAATGATGATTCCGAAGATGATGGGATACCCGGTATTCCTTCAAACGAGATCAACACACCACCTCCGCACATGACAAACTTCAACATGGGCAAAGATGAACCGTCTTCTGATTTATTTTTCAATCTGTATATGCAGTCGGATGAAAACTTAAGAGAGAAAGACAAATTTTGTAACAGAGAAGAATGTATCAGAGTCGTCAAAAAATTTCACATGCTCAAATCGGTCGATTTTAAGGTGGACCATGTAAATCTAGAAAGGTACAATATCAAGTGTGTCCACCCAGATTGTATGTTCAAGCTCGCTGCATCATACAAATTAAGAGGTGATTGTTGGGTCATAGGTTCTATGTCTACCCACACGTGTGTCAGTTTTACTCAATCACAGGATCATCGGAAACTAAATTATGACCTCATTTGTCAAGAAATCCTACCACTCGTCAGCAACGATCCATCATTGAAGGTGAAAACCATAATCTCCCACATCACTACGGTATTTAACTATACTCCGCCTTACCGAAAGGCATGGTTAGCAAAGACCAAGGCGATTGAAAAGGTATATGGAAACTGGGGGGAGTCATGCCAAGAACTTCCTCGCTACCTGAATGCACTCCAAACTTATTCTCCGGGTACTGTTTACATTCTGGAAACAGTGCCAGCATACGCCCCGAATGGTAGTTAACTCAACAGAAATGGAATATTCAGTCGAGTGTTTTGGGATTTTCAACCTTGCATCACAGGGTTTGCATCATGAAACCAATTATAAAAATTGATGGGACTTGGTTGTATGGGAAATACAAAGGCACGCTACTGATGGCAGTTGCACAAGATGGCAACAACAATATTTTCCCAATTGCCTTTGCCCTAGTCGAGGGGGAGACTAGTGGTGCTTGGAGTTTTTTTCTCAAGAATCTCCGAACACACGTGGCTCCTCAACCAGATCTATGTTTTATCTCTGATAGACATGCATCCATTGAAAGTGCATACAATAATCCTGCAAACGGTTAGCATGACCCTCCTTCTACGCATGTCTATTGCATTAGACATATCGTCCAAAATTTCACGAGGGAGATCAAAGACAAAACTCTTAGGAAAGCAGTTATGAATGCGGGATATGCATTGACACAACCCACGTTCAAATATTATCGCAACGAGATCCGTTTGTCAAATCCGGAAGCTGGTAGGTGGATCGATAATATTCCGATAGAAAAATGGACTATGTCATACGAAAATGGACAAAGATGGGGCCACATGACAACAAATCTAATTGAATCAATGAATGGGGTATTCAAAGGCATACGAAACCTCCCAGTCACTGCTTTGGTTAAATCAACATATTTTAGGATGGCTTCGTTGTTTGCCAAACGAGGTAAAATATGGAATGCTGTGTTACAATCTGGACAACTATGGAGTGAAAGCTGCATGAAGTACATTAAGGCAGAAAGTGCCAAAGTCAACACCCATCTGGTTATAAGGTTTGACCGACACAGCCACAACTTTATTGTCAAAGAGACAATCGACCACAAAGAGGGCCTGCCAAGACAAGAGTATAGGGTTATACTACCTTCTCGTTGGTGCGATTGTGGCAAGTTTCAAGCCTTTCCTATGCCTTGCTCTCATGTCATTGCCGCGTGTGCCTATACTCATCAAGACACGCTACAAATTCTGTCTCCCATTTACAAATCTGAAACCTTGCTCAACGTTTACAACAACAGCTTCCCTTTGGTAGCAAAACCAGATTATTGGCCTGCATACGACGGTGAAATAGTATGGCACAATGACCAAATGCGAAGGAATAAAAAGGGTCGTCCCAAAATTAAGCGCATCATAACCGAAATAGACTCCCTTGACAAGCTGGAAAGAAAGTGTGGTTTATGTTGTCAGGTCGGACACAATCACAAAAATTGTCCGAATCGGGCTACTAGCTCAACCACATAAAAATTGTATTACAAAAAATCTTTCCTTTATTAAGTTGTAAACATTAGGGTTTTTCGTTAACAATATTTGTTACAATAAACATTGCGCGAACAAGAAATAAAACACGATAAATAGTCTACAAAATTATAACCATTAAAACAATTTCATCTGACCTATACATCATCAACATTACGTCGCTGTCTGTTTTGACTTC